GTGTGTCTGTGTACGTATATACATGTTTATGAATATAAATATATCTAAATATATATAAATGTGTATGAATATATATATAAATATATATAGACATATATAAACATATATAAACATATATAAACATATATATATATATATATATATATATATATATATATATATATATATATATATATATATATCCATCCACACATAATATGCATATAAGCATACACACACACACACGCACACGCACTCATTTTTCTTACTCGACTTTCTTCGTGGCCCTTTGTCCCGTGTACTCTCGTCTAGTGTCTAATTTTCCTCTTCCACTCGTCCTCATCTGTCGAGTCTCCTTTACGCCCTTGTGAGGATGCAAGAGCGTGCTCTCGGATATTTAATGAAGTAAAGCCGGGAACTTTCTCGAAGGAATTCAGCCTCTCTGGGCAGGGCGACTCCCAGGCCTATCTGGGGTCCTCGGCGCTTGCAGTTCCGGAAGGCCCGCAGAAGGAGACGTTGAAGGGACGCCGTGGTGTGCGACTGCTGGTTTCATTGCCGTCTCATCGTTCTCTGTCTCTGTCTCTGTCTCTCTCTGTCTCTCTCTCTCTCTCTCTCTCTCTCTCTCTCTCTCTCTCTCTCTCTCTCTCTCTCTCTCTCTCTCTCTCTCTCTCTCTCTCTCTCTCTCTCTCTCCCCCCCTCCCTCCCTCTCTCCCTCCCTCCCTCTCTCCCTCCCTCCCTCTCTCCCTCCCTCCCTCTCTCCCTCTCTCCCTCCCTCCCTCCCTCACTCACTCTCTCCCTGTCTCTCGTTTTTTTCATATTCTCCCACTCTACTTTCCCTCCTTATCTCTCCAACCGCGCTTATATATATCTATCTCTTTACCTCCCTCTTCTCTGTTTCCTCTCTCCCTCTCTCGCTTCTCTTTAAAAAAAAAGAGAGAAAGGAAAAAATGATATCGGTTATCAAAACGCTCACACATGTAATCATAAATTGGAATTGGTGGCTGGTGACGATAGTTAAAAGAGGAACCGCGGATTAAAGCGAGCGCTGTGTCTCTCTGATTTTTCATCCACGCTGGGAGGAACGTGTATGGAGGAGGGAGGGGGTCGTGTGTGGGGGAGAGATGGGAAGGGGAGGGACGTGTGTGTGGAAGGGGAGGCGTGTGTGGAAGGGGGTAGAGTAGCGTGTGTGGATAGGGAAGGGGCGATTGAGAAGGGGGAGGAGGGTGGACTTGTGTGTGTGGAAGGGGAGGCGTTTGTGGATGGAGCGTGTGTGGAGGGTAAGAAGGCGGGTATTTTCGTGGAGGAGGAGGGAGCGTACGTGGTGGGGAAGGGGGCGGGCATGCATGTGTGGAGGGAGGTGAGGAAAGGATGTGTTAAGCCTCTATTACCCTCCCCCTTTTCGGTTTCAATCTCGCTTAGTAATCACCGTTTTGCAACCACGAAAAAAAAAATAAATGTATTTTACTGATTAATCTCCATTACAGTCCTCGGAGAAGTGTCACTGGACGTCAAGGGATTTACTTTACTGTAGTTTAGAGTGTCTGGGAGAGAAGTTCATAAAATCCCGTCATAGGTTAACGAAAAAAAAATAAGAAAAAAAGAAAAAATCTCCCTCTCTATTGGGGGTTGGTTTTCGCTTATGGGAAGACGATTCTGGAAGAACTTTGCTGCACGCTGGAGTTGATTGGGAAAGCAATAACATCTCCAAGAAACGGATAATGAGGTTTTAAGATTCTCGTGTTCTGTGTAGGCTGCGAGATGGCGTCTCGGGCAGAGAGGGAGGTTTGGGAAATACTTTTTTTTTAGCGAAATGGTGTGGGAAAGAGGATAGGATAGAGACAAGAAGGAAAAAAGGAGTTGGGAAAATGGTGTTAAATAAGAGATAACGAGGAGCTGAAATGAATACGAATCAGAGGGGTAAGCGAGAAAGCGGGAAAGTTGCAAGGGAAGTGGCAGAGAAAAAAATGATAACGGGAGGAAGTGTGAAGATGGTGTTAAACAAGGAAGCAAGAGGGTTGAGCACGGGAGAAGAGGCCATGCGAGAGAACGAGAGAACATTAAAGGAAATGAAGAAATGAGGGTTGAGTTAAAGAAGAGAAAAGGAATAGAAACTACTCAGGGACAATAGGCCAGGAGGGAAGGGGAGTGTATGAGAAAATTACGTTGAAGGGAAGAGTTGAATGTGTAGTTGACGGAGAGCAAAAGAGAATTACAATGAATAAGGTTCATAAGGGTAAGTGAGAGAATAAAAAAAGTGAAAGTGGGGAAGTGACGTTGAAATAGAGAGGATACTGGATCAGAGGGTTAAATGATTAGCATATAGGGAGAGGGGGAGAGAGAATGCCGACAGAGATCAGGAAAGCGAATGAGAATGGTAGATATTTGGTCTTTTTCTTCTCTCTCTCTCTCTCACTCTCTTACCCCCTTACTTCCTAACTCCCTTCCTCCCTCTCCCCTCTCCTCCCCCCTCCCTCCCTCCCTCCCTCCCTCCCTCCCTCCCTCCCTCCCTCCCTCCCTCCCTCCCTCCCTCCCTCCCTCCCTCCCTCCCTCCCTCCCTCCCTCCCTCCCTCCCTCCCTCCCTCCCTCCCTCCCTCCCTCCCTCCCTCCCTCCCTCCCTCCCTCCCTCCCTCCCTCCCTCCCTCCCTCCCTCCCTCCCTCCCTCCCTCCCTCCCTCCCTCCCTCCCTCCCTCCCTCCCTCCCTCCCTCCCTCCCTCCCTCCCTCCCTCCCTCCCTCCCTCCCTCCCTCCCTCCCTCCCTCCCTCCCTCCCTCCCTCCCTCCCTCCCTCCCTCCCTCCCTCCCTCCCTCCCTCCCTCCCTCCCTCCCTCCCTCCCTCCCTCCCTCCCTCCCTCCCTCCCTCCCTCCCTCCCTCCCTCCCTCCCTCCCTCCCTCCCTCCCTCCCTCCCTCCCTCCCTCCCTCCCTCCCTCCCTCCCTCCCTCCCTCCCTCCCTCCCTCCCTCCCTCCCTCCCTCCCTCTCTCTCCCCCTCCCCTCCCCTTTCCCCCTCTCTCTCCCCTCCCCCCCTCTCTCTCCCTCCCCTCCCTTTCCCTCCCTTCCCCCCCTCTCCCTCACTCTCTATCCCCCACTCTCCCTCTCCCTCAGCCACCCACACACATCACCACACACAAAAAAGAGAAAAAATACTCATGGTACATTATTCTCACGTTGGATGCATCGCTATTATTACCCAGGAAACGCCGAGACCACCCCGGGCACATCCCCAACAAGGGCCATACAGCATAGGGTACAATGTTGCTTGAAATAAAATGTAAGCAGAAATTATTTCATTCTTGTTCCCATGACGACGCGGTCAGGCAGCATCCCGGGCAAGGGGGCTGCGGCGGAGAGGGGGGGGGGGTCCTCGTTTTCTGGGTTTCTTCTGGCTTGATTCGCTTGTGTGTCTGTCTCTGTTTCTGTCTCCCCCCCCCCACCCCTCTCTCTCTCTCTCTCTCTCTCTCTCTCTCTCTCTCTCTCTCTCTCTCTCTCTCTCTCTCTCTCTCTCTCTCTCTCTCTTTCCCTCGACCATTCTTTTCCTCACACATTCCCTTTCGTCCATTTTTTTCCCTTTGTCTCTGTTCCTCGCACTGTTGAAAGTTACAGAGCGTATGACAGCCTCGCTCGGAAACCAGACTGGCCGAAAAGCGTGGAATTCGTGCCGTGTGGGGGATAAACAAGGGCGTCCCGATATCATGATTGTCTGACACCGCAAAGGGCGCCGGGAGCCGTAAATTGCAGTGTGTTATCAGCGCCGATGGCCCCATACTCAGAGGGGGAGGCGTTGCGTCACCCACCCCAGCATGCGCGTTGCCTGGCGTTTCGGCTTCACGACACAGAATGTGGATTCATATACCTGGTTGACTGGTAGCCTCTCCCCTCCCCCCATCCCCCTCCTCCTTCCTGCTCTGCCTGCAGGATTTATTTTTTTACTCTCCTCTCTCCTCTGGCCGCCCATTATGCTTGTGTAGCTGCTTTGTATATTTCGTATATCACAGAATTAAAATATTTTCTAACCAGGCTTTGCTCGTCTGTTAAAAGGAGTTATAATAATTCAAATAAATCTTTACAAAACATTGAATTGCTTGTGCAGCCGAGTCGTGTGGAAGTCAAGGTGTGGCTGCCCCGACCCCTGTCTAGCGGAGGATCGCGTCTCTCGAGGGAGGCGAGATCCTCCTGCTTCGCGCGGCCAGGAGCTGTTTGCAAACGCTGCTGAATCCGAGGAACATTGTCCTTCGTCAGGCTGCGAGGGCGTGCATGGCGTCTTTAATTCCGGCGATAACAAATAACGCGGGTGTTCTTCAACGACAATGGGTCCTGGCGGGACGGCTCACTGAATGAGCCCGCATCCTTGACTGAATGGCCGTAATTAGAGCCCGAAGTACCATAAGGCATCGCATTCAATAATAGCCCAGAGTCGTGTGTTCTCGTTACCCGGAAACCTGCACCGCTAATTACCCAACCGCATTCTTGGGAATTAAGTTATTAGGCCTGTCTGGTAAGCAGCTTTGATGCCGCGAAGGAGCACTGAATGGTTTCTGATGTTAGAACGATTTCTGTTGGGAACGAAAGTTTACACTGAATTGCCTCGGGTTTTATTCAGCATGGATATAACATAAAAAGTCCAACCTTTTTATCACATTTTTGCGTGGCTTGATACTGGGAATGAGTGTTCAGATGTATAAAAAGATGAAAGGCGAAACGGTCTAAAACTAATTAAGTATTGAAAAAAAAAATATATATGACAGTTGGAATAGGTCTGCTAGGATATCAGCAACAACAGAAAGGCAGGAGACAAAGGCATAGTTGATAAAGACTGCCTTTAGAGGCGAAATTGCTTTAGGAAATGTACTTCTTTCTTCTTTTAAGAACTTCATTAATTCCTGAGACGCCTCGGACTGAAGAGATTTCCTTTATCACAGAACAAAATTTCATATGGCTTCGTAGTCGCACGCCAGTCTCCTCCTCGCGTCTCTATCGTTAAAAAAATCCGCGAGCTGTATAAGGCGGGAGATTACAGACTTGCTTACCTTGTGGAAGAGTTGAGTCATAGCTTGCTCTCGGCGTTGGTACCAGTGGTTCATCCGTCGCCGTGGTATCCTCTGCTTGGCTTTTGGTAACGCTGGCCATGCCGTCGTCGCAGCCCCGTGTTTTCTGCTGTCTTAGTGTCATGAAGTTTCTCTTTGTCACGACCTGGCGGGGAGAGGCCGACTACTCGCCAGCCACAAGTCTTTTTCTGTTTTCTTTGTCCTTCGGCTCTTTTATCCACTGAGTTCGCACGGTCCATTTTCTCCTCCCCGAGCCTGTGTTTTTTTCCTTGCCTGATCTATAACATTGAGAAGGAGATATGTTAGCCTGGGGCACAAGGATACCGGAACAATACATACACCTTCACAGACACATTTTTAGGTACACTTTTTTTTGTTTCTTTGTTACTGTCGCCTGCTTAGTGACATATACAACATTTACCACCATTTCACGTCTTTAAGGAAATCACCATAGATATTTTGCATTTGCACTGAATCCGATTCGTTGCCATGCCGTTGCAGGTATGGAATCGAATGTGTGGGTATCAGTGTTACACGGAATATAATGAGTTGCAAAAGTGTTGCAATGATAGGGTTGGTACAAAGGTTCTATTGTTTTGTTGATGAATAAGTGGCAGAACTAACCCTGTGTTATCATAGATGTTTGAGCATCAGTGTTTATAAAAACGTTTGGATTATATGTATTATGTTATTGTAGATGTAAAAAAAAAACATGTTTAAATAAATGTTACGGACAACACACACCGATCAGTTTGGACACAATCGTATTAGTTTACATTTCAGTTTATATGTAAATAACTGATTCATCCCTAGTTGCGTTGATTAAATGCAAATATCACGCACTAAATCACGATCAAAAGTGGAGGAAGATGGATAATCCAAGATGAAACGCGCTGCTTAAGAGAGACTGATGTTGATAAATATGACATTAATATGCACCGTGCATTAAAATCGCAACATCTCGTGAATAATGAAAATAGCAAAATGAGCCTTTACACCGCGCGAAAGCGATATAACTCCCGGTTTTAAATTTTCCGCGCTGACGTTTGATGGCATCGTAGAAGGAATCATAACATTCTTCCAGAAAGGGCAAGTTCCTCCTTCTCCCCCCTCCCCCCCGCCTCTTAACCTCTCGCGCTCAAAAGGATCTCTTCCTAATCTCATAGGATAAACATGGAGTCCTGGAATGGGGCAGAAACAACGGCATTGCGATGTGTGGGTCACTAGTGAGGATGGTCGGGCAGGGCGCATCCCGCTATGCCGCGCCGTACATACATACACATGGGGCGTCACCGCGGCCGAGCGCCGCTTATGGTCACGGCGGCGTTGCATGCCGTGCTGAGCGGGGGGAGGGGTAGAAGCAGGGGCTGGAGGGGGATGGGGGAGAAGGGGTGCTGGAGTGTGGGAGACTGTGGGATTATTTTACTCTTCTGTTTTGGACGAGGCAGGCTGCCTGAATCGCTTATCTCGTAACCTTTGCGCTTCTTGTGGCAGTTTAGTTTCGATTAGACGCAGGCTACAGAGCAGGACGAAATGCGAAGACGATCTCTGCATAGGCAAGGAGTGTGGAAGACTGTACCAGTACAAAGATGACGATTAGGGAAGGAATGTGGGGATGTGGCGTGGTCAGCAACAGGCCATGCGCTGGACTCTCACACGCTCTCTTGCGGCCATGCACAAACACCAATGCACATACACATGCAAAAAACGCACTAACGAAAACAAACAACCTCTGCTTGCGGCGAATGATTTATTGTCTAAACGAGGTGTTATGCCGCCCATGGACATGCCTGCGTGGTATCTGCCAGCGTTGCCATGAATAGGTTGGCGCTGACGCATGCGGTGCGGTTCGTATTCTTTTGTCCCCCCCCCCCCCCCCCCGCTTCTCTCAGCACATTTCGTAATTCCCCGCGCGCTCCCTTGTCATCGTGCTCCTCGCCTCCGTTCTGTTCGAAGCTCCCTAGTTCGCGGTAATCTACTCTAATCCCCTGTTCTTTTGTTCTCCTACTGTTTTTAATGACGTCCTACATCCCCTGGCACCCAAATCGCCGAATCTTACACCCTTTAATCTCCCTCCACATTCCGCAGCGCAGGAACGGCACGCGCCATGTAGCCAATGTTGATCTCGTTCATATCTCGGCTGGATGTGACAGCTGATTGTGCTGCTGACTGGGCGCTTCACGTCGGCGAATCTCGAGTCCTTCCTCGTCGGTGCATCTTTATATACGCTATTGACCAGATTGAGGTTGCGAAAACACACGCAGACATAGTCACAGTCCTAGACAGACACAGACGTAGACATACATGGCGATAGATAGATAGATAAATAGATAGAGAGAGAGAGAGGGAGAGAGAGAGAGAGAGAGAGAGAGAGAGAGAGAGAGAGAGAGAGAGAGAGAGAGAGAGAGAGAGAGAGAGAGAGAGAGAGAAAGAGAAACATGATATTCAAATGAAGTCACAGATTAGCTCGGTCCTTCCTGCCAACAGAGGAGGTGCGCGGGGTTGCGGTGTAGTGAAAGTGCGCGCGATCCAGGACTGCGCACCACACTCATATAAAGGCAGTTGGAAAATGTGTATGCCATAAACGGACACCAGCGCAAGTAATATACATACGCGACACTCCCAAGTTGGTTCAACTGAAAACGGTTAATGAAGTGCATCAGTGAATGGAGTGAGGGGAGGGAGGGGGGACGTAGAGCCTGGCGGAGAGGAGGAGGAGATAGAAAAGGGAAAAGAGGAAGAAGAGCAAGGAAGAGGAGCTAGAAGAAAAAAAGAAGAAGAAAAGAGTACAAGAGGAGGAAGGAGGAAGGAGGGAGGTGGGAGGTGGGAAGTGGGAAGTGGGAAGTGGGAAGTGGGAAGTGGGAGGAGGAGGAGGAGGAGGAGGAGGAGGAGGAGGAGGAGGAGGAGGAGGAGGAGGAGGAGGAGGAGGAGGAGGAGGGGGGGGGTCTTTCTGGCTGAGAGTTAAAAGGAGAATGGAGAGGAGGAGAAGAATAGAACTGAGATGGTCGGAGTTGCAATGTTGCAAATAACTTTGGTCTCGCACAGCTCTTAAATCCAGACTCACTCCTACCCCACCTCCAGCTAGTGACATCAGGACATCACTGCAGGATTCTAATATGCAAATTTTTTACTTCATTTAAAGACCCGGGAAAGTGATAACAGTTCTTGTGGGCAGATTTGTATTGTTTGAGAGAGAGAGAGAGAGAGAGAGAGAGAGGAGAGAGAGAGAGAGAGAGAGAGAGAGAGAGAGAGGAGAGAGAGAGAGAGAGAGAGAGAGGAGAGAGAGAGAGAGAGGAGAGAGAGAGAGAGAGAGGAGAGAGAGAGAGAGGAGAGAGAGAGAGAGAGAGAGAGGAGAGAGAGAGAGAGAGAGAGAGAGAGAGAGAGAGAGAGAGAGAGAGAGAGAGAGAGGAGAGAGAGAGAGAGAGAGAGAGAGAGGAGAGAGAGAGAGAGAGAGAGAGAGAGAGAGAGAGGAGAGAGAGAGAGAGAGGAGAGAGAGAGAGAGAGAGGAGAGAGAGAGAGAGAGAGAGAGAGAGGAGAGAGAGAGAGAGAGGAGAGAGAGAGAGAGAGAGAGAGAGAGAGAGAGAGAGAGGAGAGAGAGAGAGAGAGAGAGAGAGAGAGAGAGAGAGAGAGAGAGGAGAGAGAGAGAGAGAGAGGAGAGAGAGAGAGAGAGGAGAGAGAGAGAGAGAGAGAGAGAGGAGAGAGAGAGAGAGAGAGAGAGGAGAGAGAGAGAGAGAGAGAGGAGAGAGAGAGAGAGAGGAGAGAGAGAGAGAGAGAGAGGAGAGAGAGAGAGAGGAGAGAGAGAGAGAGGAGAGAGAGAGAGAGAGAGAGAGAGAGAGAGAGAGGAGAGAGAGAGAGAGAGAGAGAGAGAGAGAGAGAGAGAGAGAGGAGAGAGAGAGAGAGAGAGAGAGAAACATGATATTCAAATGAAGTCACAGATTAGCTCGGTCCTTCCTGCCAACAGAGGAGGTGCGCGGGGTTGCGGTGTAGTGAAAGTGCGCGCGATCCAGGACTGCGCACCACACTCATATAAAGGCAGTTGGAAAATGTGTATGCCATAAACGGACACCAGCGCAAGTAATATACATACGCGACACTCCCAAGTTGGTTCAACTGAAAACGGTTAATGAAGTGCATCAGTGAATGGAGTGAGGGGAGGGAGGGGGGACGTAGAGCCTGAGGAGGAGGAGGAGGAGGAGGAGGAGGAGGGGGGGGTCTTTCTGGCTGAGAGTTAAAAGGAGAATGGAGAGGAGGAGAAGAATAGAACTGAGATGGTCGGAGTTGCAATGTTGCAAATAACTTTGGTCTCGCACAGCTCTTAAATCCAGACTCACTCCTACCCCACCTCCAGCTAGTGACATCAGGACATCACTGCAGGATTCTAATATGCAAATTTTTTTACTTCATTTAAAGACCCGGGAAAGTGATAACAGTTCTTGTGGGCAGAAGAATAGAAACTTTTCTCAAGATATGTCGACACAACGGGAATATTTGCTGCCCTCAGGGTCGTGGGTTAGACGGTGCCGGAAGCTCAACAATTATAATTGAATATGTCGTGTGTCTTACATTCAGTCTGATTTTCTCCTATCTATCTCTGTAGGCTATACTCTAAGCTTTGCCAGTTTGCATGCTAATTTGCACATGTATTTGTATTGTTTGAAGAGGTAGAGATATAGATATCGAGATTTGCTGTTGCAATGCAGAATGCGAGTGCTGCACGGAGAAGGCGGAAATGACTAGGCACGTTGAGAGGAAATGCATTTATATGACGTTAAGGACGTATATCTCATTCCAGCAAAGGACTGTGCGTTTGAAGGAAATTTGGGCTACTATCAAAAGGGATTTGACGTTTATTTAGTGAGAATCAGTTTATGGCTGAGGCAGTGTACATGAGGGGAGAAAGAGAAAGCGAAAGGGGAAAGGATGGCTGGACAGAAAAGCCTGTTAGATAGAAGGGGGGGCCACTGGAAGCCAAGGAAATGCATGTAGCAAACCTTGTACCCAGAACCAACGCCAGGAATTATTTCTTACCACACACGCTCTTTTCTTTCACCCAAGCTTTATCTGCGGGTATACTTGACCGTATCTTTGTGGATAAAAGTACTCTTTCGTACCCACATCGAGCGCAATGTTTAAAAGTTCTGAAAAAAGTATGTACGTGTGAATAGAAGGTTTACTGGTCTTGTTGGGGTGAGTTGTTAAGCCGTGTGCTTCCTGTGATCGCTGAACCTGAAAGCAGATCTCAGGGTGGAACGGCGGTGGTTTTAGGCCAAGGAAAAGTAAGATCTCTTCACAGTCAGCCTACAGAAATGTCGGGTTGGTAAAGACCCAATTTACTCAAGGTCGGAGCAAAGATGGCCACGTCTCGACTTTCTCCCTGTCGCTTTTTTCCACTCTTACACCTCTTTAACGCGCCGCCTTGTGCTTTTGTTACATCTTTCTCACACTAGCCGTTTTTTTTCTTTTTCCCTTTTTCTATATACACCACAACAAACTTTACTTTTGGTGCGAGGCGGAGGCCAGTCACCAGTACTTTGATCATCGTGGTTTATTGGCTGTCAGATGACCGGGGACATGCCTATAGAGTAAATGAAGTTTGTGAATGACTAATTTGCTCTCAGGGGGACAAGGCTTGTCAGGCACCGTTCCCGTTTGTGTCTATAATGGGAATGGGACTGATAATTTGATAAAGTAATTCCCTTTCGATGCAAGCACCTGCTTTACGACGAAATCTGTTGGACGTCCCTCACTCGCAAGTGATGACGGCCGGGTTATTGCAGCTGCGAGTAGGACATAAAACAAGCAAACAGGTAGCTGGGAAGAGCACAGGGTGTGGTTCGGTCTGGAGTGTATCATGATGTTGTGAAATGTGGTGTTCCGTAACGTTTCATAGTCTCCTTTACTATGGTGTAGCCTGCTGTAGGAGTGGTGTAGCGCGGGGCGATGGCATGTGCCGGTGCAACGTGGCATGACGGAGCTAGTGTATGGTAGGGCTTCGTCCTTCAGTTGTTACGCTTCCACGCCGATGGACCGGCACGGCGCACGAGTCGGATGGGCGAGTCATGACAACCACCCTCTTGTGTCACGCACGTGTGACGCGAGGAAATTTCTCCAAGAGATGTAAAAATAGCAGCATATATAATAGAACGAACGAAGGGGAAACTAGAAAAAAGAGAGTGAATGAGTAACAGCGGTTAGGAACGTGAAGGTGAGGCATGCAGAGAGGGGTGCAGGGGAGTCGGAGTCAGGTATTGTGTTCGTAACGTCGTGGCTCATTATGTGGTGGAGTTTGTGCGGGCCGAGGGATTGATGAGTACGCAAGACTCCAGAATCCTTCGACTGTTTGCCGACGGAAATTCCTGAGACGCTCTGAGGTTGAATGGCTGTTTTCCCCTCTTGCGCGCGTCCATCCTTTCGCGCGGTCGGTTCTCGAAGGATTTTGCTTCGCCGAATCAATTAGCCTGCAAAAAGTCCCTTTAGTTGTATGTCTATGAATATATTTCCGTTATTATACGATATACTTTTGGCTGCCAGAAGCCGTCTGGACGTTCGTTGCGCCCTTCAGTCTGAGCAGAACAGCCGCCGGGAGCGCCGCCAAGGTCAGCCATTAATTCATAGGGTTCCCATGCCAGGGGAGGAGCAGTGTGGGGGTGGGGGCGCGAAGGGAGAGGGGGATTAAATACAGCGACAGGAGTCCTACATTTCCCATCACGCCAAGGTTGACTGCCACCAAACGTCGCCAACGTTCCGGATAACATTTTTTTCTCTCTCCCTTCCTCTCTGTCTCTCAGTCTCTGTTTGTCTCTCTATGCGATTCTCCTCTCTGTTTTCATATCTCTCTTCTCTATTTGGAAAGTCGTACTTTACACATGAGGTCCGGTTTGTCCACGTCGCTGGGGCCTCGTTATACTGTGACGCGTGTATGTTTATGAACTGATGACAGTTCCGGCGTCCTTGTGACGTAATTTGCATACCGAGCTGGAGTTCCCAGCGACATCGAACTTGGTGGCGGAAGTGGAGGAATGGAGGGGGGAGGCTAAAATAAAAGGGAAATAGAATAAAAAAAGGCGGAATTTATGAATAGGACGACGTAAAAAATAGAAATGAATCGCAGTTGGGAGGAAGATTAATAGGGCAGAGATGGGATTAAGAGAAGAAGGAAGAGGAATAATTCCGAATATGTCGTTTGGGAAAATTTAGGAGGACAAACACGAGAAACATGTATTGTTTTCCAATTGCACAGTGGATTGCGCTAATTACCGTTAATTATTCTCTAAGAGAATAATTAACAACAGCGATAATCAGCATATAATTAGTCAACTAGATAATATATGACGGGAAGCCGGCACATTGGGTAATGACATATGGAGGAACTTTGGGTAAAGTAAGTTTATTATCAATTACTTTATAGATGGGAAAGAATGAGAGGTGGGAAAATAAAAGAATTATGATGCAAGAAAACGAGAGAGGAAAGACTAAGAATAACTGACGAAAGGAAAATCAGAGAAAAAAAAAGAGAAAGAGAGAGAGAGAGAAAGTGGAGAGACTGTAGAGTGACTAAGTGCAAGTGAAAAACGAAAATGATTAGGCCACGCAGCGAGGGGTAAGTAACATGCACTTCAGGGTTGGTTAAGGAGGAGAGCGGCTTGGGGACTAATAGCACAGAGAAGGATCACAGGAGGACTAAGAGCTCCTTAAGACCCCGGCCTGAGCACCGCCTTCCTGAACTGTGCTACCTGTCTTTTTCTCTTCCGCTCCTCCCCTTTTAGAGCCGCGTCTCGCCTCATCTCTCTCCGTTTGTGCATGCGTGCGTCCGATTTGTGTGTGTGTGTGTGTGTGTGTGTGTGTGTGTGTGTGTGTGAGTGTGAGTGTGAGTGTGTGTGTGTGTGAGTGTGAGTGTGAGTGTGAGTGTGAGTGTGAGTGTGAGTGTGAGTGTGAGAGTGAGAGTGAGAGTGAGAGCGAGTAAGTGTGTGAGCGTGTGTGAGTGAGTGTGAGTCTGTGTGAGTAAGTGTGTGCGTGCGTGTGTTCACAATTGAACGCCAGACCTGCGTCAGCTCCTCGAGTGATCCTCCGGCGGCGATGTGTAACAAGATTACAGAAGACGCAAAACGCACCTTGGCACGCGCCCCCGACTGTCCCGCGTCGGTCTTGCCAGCCGAAAAACACCCGCGACTTTTATCCTTTCCAAGTTCGACTAGAAGTGAGTTGACTCGCCGTAGAGGACGTTAGTTTTTGGATGAACTGAAAGAGAAAATGAGGTTTCCGAGAAGCGCGGAGGTATTTCAAGCTGATTTAAAAAAAAAAGCTTGATAACTCGGCTTAGCGTTCAGTGGACAATGAATATAATATACACACACACACACACACACACACACACACACACACACACACACACACACACACACACACACACACACACACACACACACACACACACGAATTTGTGTATACTATAAAATTTGTTTGTTTGTATGTAAGTATATTGATTTGAGACATCATGAACATCATTTACTTATCTTGAGTCAGTATTTCGTATTGTTTTTAGCTCACGAACCCACCTCAGATAAACTTTGACAGCATGGTATGAAAGTTAATATTCAGACATAATAAAAGTTGGCATGTCTATCGAGTTTAAAAACTGCAGCATCAAATTCCTCTCAGTTGAATTCAGCGAAGAAAGAAACAGCTACGCGTCTGATAAGATGTGCGTTAGTAAAAACGTCTTTTCAGTTTATTCTTTGGCGTCTTTACAATGCGGGTCTGATAAAAGACTGTTTTCGAGCGATCCATACGTGCAAAAGTTCATTATATATGAAAAGGGTGATTTTCCATGGAAATGAGGAAGTGTCCATCTCCCTTTCATCCCCGTTTGGCAAGTTCTAAAGTGCTCTGATAGGAGCCTCGAACGCCCAGTAGATAAATCTCTTTCAACTCACAGGCTGCTCCAAAATCCTCGTCTTTGGCGGGTAAAATGCGTCACTCTTAATGCACTCTTCTCCTGAGCATTTCGAAGGTTCGTAAATCCTTCCACGGAAAGGGGACGCAAGTTTTTAAAAGAAATAGAATGGAAAAGAAAATACAGACGGAGTAAAAATAAGAAAGGACGTAAATAGGTTAGACTCCCCGGGTCAGTAGCGTTGTCGTTCTCTCTTACTACTTAATCTTTCTTGACCGTTTTTTGTAAATCAGATTTTCACTATCAAGAACAGTGAAGATAAGACCTATCATTAAAACTGAAATTACATACATATAGGCACATATCTATTAAAGATAATAGTATAACTGAATATCTGCACGTGATTCTCTCAAACACATAACTTTAACGACCACAAACCACACTTCCTTCTAAGTTCAACCTCGACGTGACATAAAAGATAAAAAAAATACATACTTTTATTTCTTTCCCGCAAAGGAAGTAACGGGACATTGCCCTTAGTTGAAGTACCGGTTGACCCTCTTAGTTATGTATCATTAAGGCGTCTTAATGTCAACCCGTTTTTTATCGTCACCGCACGTGTATGTTTTTACCGGTAAGTGCAAACTGTTGGGTTTTGTTACCGTGTATGTATCACAATGAGGCTTCAAATTACGTTATCAAATCATTCTCGCCAACAAAGTACGGTCAAATTAGGGAGGTCAGGCTCGTGGAGCAACTATGACAATTAACAGGAAGCAGAGTAAAACTTAAAAGGCAAAATACTGTAGTGGTGTATCTGCACAGTGTGGAGGCGAAGTAGAGACGCGAATCGAGGCTTATCAATATCAGCTGAATGTGTGCGTAAGAGACTGGTCCATTAGTGTGCAGTAAGTGTGTGATTGGGTGGGTTGGGGTGTGATGAAGGGTTACATAGCTGGCAGAGAATATTGCACCGACTTCTGTCCATTGTGGGACTTGTAAACAGTGACAATTTTCCTTAACGGTTTCTGGTTGCTTGAATGTGTGGGTTCAGTAAATCGGTTCTGTGGCCGTTCTTTGCAACTGTCTCCTACAGAAACCGCATTTAAACAGGCTTGTTTTTGTGTACATATTTGAACACGTTTGTTTTTCTTGTGTACATATTTTGAACATGTTAGTTTTTGTGTACAGTTTTCAAACATGGTTAAACGTAGGGAAATATGTGACGTACAGAATGAGCTGCTGTGAAGATCCTTTGCTTTTGAATTCTGTGTATCCTGCATGGCTGAGTCCGTTCATTTACTGCACGTTTATTCATGCTCACAACCTGCGCTTGCCATTAATATTATATCATTAATGTTTCTCTGTCTACGTAAAAAAACATCACTGAAACTCTCCTGCAGCACAGCCAGATAATGCACATATTTTCAGCACTGCACTTATTCAAATAGTAATTTCCTACTATCTTTGTATACCATTCTAAAACCAGGCTTTGTAAGAAATAAATATCTTCACTTAAGCTTCCGAGCGGTATCCCATCCTGGAATATATCATAATATTTTGCACAGTACACAACACAAACACTTGCACCTCAGCTTTAACCAAAAACCGAGCTGGGTGATGGTGCACGGGGACGCCACTCATCAGAGAGAGAGCGAACCGGCGCACGTCCTGCCTCCACCACGGGTATACACAGACTGCGCGATAAAGTAGTTGGTGACTTGTAGCGTCTGAAGCTCCGAGCGGGTGTAAGCCAAGTGTGGCGCCCCGTCCCCGGCCCGACCAGTCCACCCACCACACTCCGACGGAAAGGGTGTAGTCGTGCCTCCCGTACCCCGATCCTCTCCACCTCTCCTCTTTTCCTTTTCCTCTTCCTCCCCATCCCCTCCAGGTACCCCACTATCGCCTCTTTATCATCCTCTTCCACCGACACCAACAGCTTCTCTTCATCATTTTTAAACTTCCCCTTCCTGCTCACCCCCTCCCTTCCGTCTAGTCCTCTCCTCCCCCCCCGTCCTAGTCCTTTTCCTCCTCCTCATTATCCTCTTCGTCCTCCTGTCTCCCAGCTTCTCTCCTTGTCGTTTTCTTCTTTTTCATTTTCTCATGGTTATTGTTTTTCTTCGTCTTCTCCCCCTCCTCTCTCTCTGTATATGTGTGTTTGTGTGTGTGTCTGTCTATCTATCTATCTATTTATCTATCTATCTATCTATCTATATTTAAATTTCTCTTTCCGGATCCTCTCTTTTTCGTTTCCTCTGTCCTTTGATTTCTCTTTCGCCTTGCCCGTCTCCCTCTCTTACCCAGTCCCCCTCTCTATTTTGAGAGAGAGGGAAGGAGGGTTGCTCGTTGACTCTTGAATATAGTGGTTGGCGAAACACGAAATAGGAATGATCGTGCAGCATGGGCGCGGGCGAGGAGCGAGAGATCCAACGCTGAGAGGATTGAGTGTAACGAGGTTTGCGTCTGTAAACCTGACAGAAGAATTTGTCGAAAGAAGAAGAGCTTTAGATTATGTAGGGATGATCTCGATATTTGTTTTGCTTTTGTGTTGTGCATATATATATATATATATATATATATATATATATATATATATATATATATATATATATATATATATATATATATATATATACATACATATGTGTATATATATATATATATATATATATATATATATATATATATATATATATATATATATATATATATATATACATACATATATATACATACATATGTATATATATATGTATATATATGTACATATATTTATATATATATTTATACATATATGTCTATTGCTATTTTCATAATGTATGTGTCTGTGAACAAAACGTTTTCTAGTATAGTCAATATGAAGTAACTGCTTGCGGCTATATTTTATTTTAGTCTCCGATTCTTGCGACTACAAATTGTAAATGATGGTAATTATGAACGTGAAACTTTTGTTGCAAAATCACTGGGGCATAGAATTAGCGCATTCTAGTTTTAATAATGGGTCTCAACGCGGAGACAGTATTTGACTCAAAATTTCCTCTTGGGACGTATGATTCATACAAGGTACACGTTGATCATGTTTCTCATGTGGGTCATGACTTTCTGTGATAGAGAGACTTGACTTGCTTCGGGTAAATGATAACCTTACGTTGGCCTTCCGTGTTTCTTGCGTCTCTTTAAATATCAGGAACTTTGGCACTGTCGAGACGCCGAAATGCTTTTTGGGCCTTATTGCAAGTCTCGTATATTAAAGTATAGGCCAAATGGATTACTTACTTGTATCTTGATCTCTGTGAGAAGTGAGGGAGGTAGTCCAGGGTTTGATATAACGCTTCATAGTTCTCCTTTATTGAGAAATATTGGCTACAGTTCGTGAAGCTCGACTGGATTCCCAAGATATACATTTTGCTTAAGCCGCGGGGTGGTCTTAGACCCACCGTGAGGCTGAGGTCAGTCCTGGTCACGGGAGGTTAGACGGACGAGATGACGAGTATTGTTCTTTTATTCATTATTTGATTGAATGAATGGATTTATTTTGATTGGGGAGTTTAATCTAAGATGAAGTCATCCCGTCACGGTGTCTTATGGGTGGGCGAAGGCAGCTGCTGACCTCAAGCACACGGGAAGAAAATTTCTTTCATGCTCTGGCTGTGATGGCTTGTCTCTGTCTTCCATTTTCACGTGTGAGGATTTTTACGATACTTTTTTTTCTCGAAGGAAAGATGTATATTTTTTTTCCTCTTTTATCATCTGAAGACCCCTGACGTCACGGGGTCTTCGTCAGCGAAGTCTCGTTATAACAAGGGGACAGTGGATGTAATGCATAAATTATGAGTTCATTTGAATATGTCATCTGAAGTTTGCTGATGGGGAATGTATCGGAATCGTGGATGGATTTTTTTTAAAGCACTTAATGGCGAGCGGCGGCAGCGATCTTCAAAGCCTCCATAACTCTCTTCTATATTCTGTATCCGATCCGTCCGTTGTGTTTTTTTCTACACACTTTAAGCATTTCTTATTAATCATCTATCCATCCACCATCTATTGATTTTCTATCTATCTGTCCATCCGTATTCATGTTCAAATCGATTCCTGGCTAGTTCGATTATTTTACTAACTATGCCAAGAAATTAAGAAATGGAAACAAAGGGTAAGATAGTGAATTAGACCGAAAGAGTAACAAGGAAATGTAAAAGAAACAGTCTGTAAACATCTGAAACGTGCCTTTCCCTTGCGCTTGTTATCTTGCTCCTGAAGCGGAAGTAATTGCAGAATGTGCCAAAGCAACTTGTTTAAGACTAGAGGGAGATCAAACATGTTTATCAGAAGTTGGGAAGGACTAAATAAGATTTTCTTTTTTTCCTCGGAAGTGTTGATAAAGCTCTTGAAGTTATTAGCGGGCGCGTGACTGGCGACGGGCCTTGAAGAATTAGCAATTAGCCTTATGCATATAATATTATCTTTTACGTTTATGTTTTCCTTCATTACTCGTAACTCTTGTAATCACTCTGTTGCCGGATATGAAGGTGTGAGAAAGCGATGAACTGAATAGAATTTTGTTGACGATATAATGCCTGTAGGATTTAAATGATTGTGTTTCAATAGTGAATTTGAAGGGGTGGCTGACATTGGTGTTTCTGTGTTTGTGTGTGTGTGTGTGTGTGGAGGGGTGGGGGGGGGGTGCGTTGCGTGCGTGTGCTGTACAAACGATGCTGTGTTCTGTCTTTGTGTCCAGGATCCCTGATTTCGGTCCACCAGTGAAAAGAGCCCACACACATATATGAGCCAATTACTTTCATGGGCGAAGATTTACTAAAAGGCTTCAACTGTTATCCGGTGGGCGAGAGACTATCCCTCCTTTGTTCCCCCTCCCTCCCCAAACGCCCCCACGCCCTAACCCCACCCCATCCCCAGCCCCACGCCCATCCCTTCCTCCTTTGACGCTCATTCCCAGCAACACCTTTTCCCACTCATCCCCCGCCCATCCCATGGGACGCCCATCCCCCTATCCCGCCCATCCCCTCGGACGCCCATCCTCCCGGCACCCATCCCCCTCAGACGCCCATCCCCCCTATCCCGCCCATCCCCTCGACGCCCATCCCGAGGCGGCCAACCGAATTAGCAGGAGCGAAACCCAATATTGAAGGTGGAAGAGCCTGATCACTCTCTTGACCTCCCCGAGTGCCTTCAAACGACCTTTTGTTCCGCCTCGGGTTGCGCTCTTATATCGAGGACAGGATGAGGATGTTTATCCCTGAGATCCGCGGAGGCTGCGAGGTATAATAAGGAGCTTGAGGAGGAAGCGCACGTAGATTGCGGTGCCTCTGCTTGTGCGTGAAAGATGGCTATAACGCTTTTAAAAGAGGGGCGAAGGAAGGGAAATTATTATCCACGTTTTACATTTTGCATATTTTTTTTCGATATTGGGGATTATTCATTAATTTCTCTCATTTGTTCTCTCTCTCTTCCACAGGCTCAGACACCAGACAGCGACGACCCGACGGCCTCGCACCCTCGCCGCAACCTG